ATCTTAAAAATGGAGAAAATATTCTCCGTAATCTAACGTTTTATTGAATTTCAGGTGCTTTGGATTTAGATTTACTATAGTTATCGCTCTTATTTTCTGATCATGTCGTGTATGGGAGTCTGCATTTGCAAAAATCGGCACCTTTCAATTTGAGCTCCTGACTTCCTCAGTTGATAAGTATTTGCTCGTAAATTCTCATCCAATTCAACGCTCGACTCGTCACGTGTACTTACACCCGATTCCCCCCACCCCTTAGAACTGAGGCTCTGTTGAGCGATTTGCACATAACCCCATCGTTGGTATTGGGCATCATCTCTAAATTAGACACCCATAAGGCTAGCGGTGAGGACGGGATACCAGCCATTGTCCTGAAGAAATGTGCTCCTGCACTAGCGCCTGTCCTCTCTAAACTATACAACTACTGCCTTAACGACTCCTGTTTTCCATCCTGTTCATCTGTTGTACCTCAAAAACTCTGGCGACCCTTCTGACCCATTTAACTACTGTCATATCAAAAGTCTTTGAAGCCGAAGTGGTTAAGCACCTTACATTCCTGTTATGGGACCTTACCCATAATAACATAATGGACTATTCCATGCGTAATAAATACTGCGCCTCAAGAGGAAGCAGTCCGAAGTCGGGCGACCGGCTGACCGGCTGATCGGTTGAACTCTCCGCCTTCGGGCGGGGAGGAACCCGAACGAGGCTACGCCGAAGGGCGGAGTCTCTTTCGGGGAGGTAAACCGACCCTGAACCCATTTATACGGGTTCAAAGTGCATATTTTTGGCCGAGCCCACGGGCTCGGAGATCCCACATTAAACCGGCCTTGTGCCACATGATGCCCTCGTGTGGGGGAGGGGTGACTAAATACTGTTCAGTCTGAAGTCTGGAGTGAAGTCCGTCAGGAGTCTGTCAGTCAGCCAGAGCGAGTCAGTCAGTCGAGTCAGAGGCAGTCCGAAACAGAGTCGCGTTCAGACAATTTCTACTAAACCTGATTGTTCGTACTAACACTTTTCTACCTCTCTGTATATATTCCTGTTTGTAATATATCTGTGTTATTCCATATCCGTGGTTCTATTGGTTCTACCTTGGACTATCACCGTGGTACAAGGAACCGGACCATAACCATTCCATGATCTGCTCTCTGACAAAAATTATGGTTTCCGTTTTGCCCGATCTACAGCTCACGGCCATAACTGAATTTGTTTGCCAAGCACTTCACAATAACGGAGAATCTCGTGCTATAGCTCTAGATATCTCTAAAGCGTTTGATAGGATTTGGCATGCCGGTCTCCTTCGTAAGCTTCAGGGATACGGTATCCGAGGAAGATTATTTGACTTAATACAATCATTCCTGCCAAACCGTGTAATGAAGTTTGTCCTTAACGGATTCTCCTCCAGTTCCTTTCTCACGAACGCAGGTGTTCCGCAAGGCTCTATCCTGGGCCCTACACTGTTATCTTCATTAACTATCTTCCTGATGTCATCAGTTCCCAAGTAGGCATCTATGCAGACGACACCACTTTTTACTCCTGCCTAAATAGCAAATCTGGTTTTCTCTGACAAAACTAACCTGCCCCTTGGTCTCGAAATAGACCTCCAATCGGTTGTTGACTGGGGAAGGAAATGGCTGATTAACTTTAATGCCTCAAAAACAAAACTGCTCTCTATTACCCACCACAGAGAACCCTCCCTGCCTCCCATTGAAATGTCTGATGCTCAACTCCACGAGTGCAACTCTTTGCGACTGCTTGGCCTTACACTCTCCACTGACCTCTGATGGAACAATTACATTGAATCAATAGATTCATCTACCACAAGGAAAGTTGGTTCTCTGTGTCACGCCAGAAAGTTTTTCTCGCCCGAGTTCATCCTTCAAATCTATAAATCAATCATTCGCCTTTACATGGAATATTTCTGTCAGATATGGTCTGGAACCCCCGCTGTTTGTCTTAGAGTCTTCGACAAAATATAGAGACGGATATGTAATATAATTGGCCCTGATCTGGCATCTCGTCTGCAGTCGCTCTCTCACAGACGTGCCGTTGCCCCCTTCTGTCTTTTCTACAAATACTTTCACGGTAACTGCTCCGAGGAGCTATTTTCGCTAGTTCCCAAAATCCATGAATTTAAACGTGCCACTAGGTCGTCAACTGGGTCCCATCCTTTCACTGTCGAAACGGTTAAATGAAACCGTCTCTTCTACTCCAATAGCTTCATGTCTCGCACTTCCCATCTGTGGAGCTCCCTTCCTCTGACTTACTTCCCTGATAGCTATAATCTCCAAATATTCAAATACAATGTCAATCGACATCTGCAGATGCCTTGATCTATTCCCCCGCCCTTCTCTTCATCCTTTCCTCTTTCACGCCTCTTTACGCTTGCTCCTACTTTCTGTAACCCCTTGCGTACTAGTGGCACTCCTGCTTTGCTTGGGGAGAAAATTTAAAAAAAAAAAAACATACAAAAAATTCAAAATTCTTTTTAACATATTGGTGGTCCCTAAATTGTAATAAGCTTTTCAATTATGATTAGTAAATATAGATTTTACTTAATAACAATATCACGTAACCTGGAGAATTTAAGACAAAATTTTAATAAAATTAAAACTTTATAAATTATCATAATTAAAATTTAAAAAAAAATGAAAACAATTGTTGCAAAACTTTAGTATTCACCGGAAATTTTTTTTTCTTAAGATAATAGCGTCTATAAAATATCTTATTCATAAATGCAACTAAAAGGTATTCTAATTAAATAATCTCTTAGTTTTATTTCATTTTTTATTTTCCGATTCAGAATAGATTTTCGGTAACTAAGGGTCCTGTTTAACAAAAAAAAAAAAAAAAAAAATGATGATTTAAATTCTTCTGATTTTAGCTAATATACATTTTAAGCGGGAAAAATTTAATTTCCAGAAATTTCACAATATTAAATATGTTGGGCGTAACAGATGTAAAAAAAATATATTTTTAAGGAGTCTTGCCTTTAGCTAATATAAATATTAAGGGAGTGAAATTTAATTTCTCGAAATTTCATAAAATTAAATAAGTGGGGGAACATAGATTTTAAAAATATACTTTTACCAACATTTTCTAAAAAAAATATTTCTAAAATAATTTAATTTTTGAATAAGTCCTGAAAGTTTCATGAAAATCAGACAATTATTTGATTTTTGAAAGAATTTCCAAATCAATGTGTTCTTTACCCCAACTTACTATACTAACCTTTGGCCACTGCGCTGACGAAAAAAACAAACAAAAAAAGCAAAAAAAAAAAACAAGATTTTTAACCAAAAGTTCGAACGTTCTAAAATGGACCAAAATATATAATTTAATAATCAAAAGATCCTTTGCTCTTTCTTCTTAATAACAGCTGAAAGACTTTGACGATAACTTTGATTTGGGGGCATTTTTCATCAGGGTATGGTCATTTTTTGGCGAATCAATGGCGGTACCTACGTTAGTGTAAAGCTTCCATATTTAAACAAACCATGTGTTTGTTAATATTTTTGTCTGTTCGTCTTTCGACAGTATTACCGAAGTTTTTAACATGTCAAGTGTTAACTGTTCCAAGGGGTGTGATTAAAGTTTTTTTTTTTTTTTTTTCATAGATTTCGCGAGTGTATGAAGAAATATGATACATCGCATAAAAAATATTTTTGTGTGTGTTTGGCCGGCCATAAAGTTTTTTTTTTTTTCGGGTGATATTCGATCAGTTTCGACCTCATTATCACTTAACATTCTGATTGATTTGTTAAATTTTCGTGCCGCAGAAATTTTATATTCATCGTTTTTTTTTTTTTTTTCATAAACTTTTGTATCATTGAGTAAAAAAAGTGTTATTGCCATTTTAAGGGCCTTACACTTCACAACAATGATAATACCTAACTCGAGAAATGCCCTAATTTCTTGATAAATATTTTAGTTCTTTTATGAGTCTTTGTGTTAACGTCGTCTAAACATCTGTTCTAATATTATAAATAGGCAATAAAACAATTTATTTTCTTTGTATGGAACAAATTTAATGACTCCTCTTGGCCTTGTACGCCCTTTTATGTCACGGCATTTCACCAGACTGTCGTTCGGCTACTGTCTGAAATTATGGGTTATTCGTTATCTTTACTGTATTCTTTCTTTTTTACAGTAAGGTTCACTCTTTACGAGGCCCGAGAGCCACTCGAGGTAGAGGGTTACGTTAGGCGGCAGTTTATGCGGATAAGAGCGAAAGATAACGGTTAACCCTAGCCTTGAACAGGTTAAGACAGTGTAGGGGAAACATCTTCTTGGGAGTCTGTTCCATAGAGCAGTGATTCGCGTGAAGAAGCTGTTCGAGTGGATCGAGCAGCGAGAGGCTTGCCACATCCCGCCGGTAGGAGAGAAGTTGGAGGGTGAAGAATAATTCGTCACCTACAAGGACTCGGAGACGCTTTCGGACTCTATCAAGGCCAGAAAGTGAGCACTTGGCAGCAGCCGTCCAAATATCACAACAGTATTCCATTTTGGGCCTAATCCGGCTTTTGTAAACGTAGAGGATATCATGAAAAGTCTGGTACTTACTGCGCCGACCATTTTATCTGCATCCTTAGCAATGGATCATATGTACGAGATCCACTTGAGGACAGGTGCGAGTCTTTCAAGGCACGGTGTCCCCACCCACCCCCACGCCGAGGAGAAATTCGTAGTACCGAGGAAAGAATTTCTGAAGGTCTGGAAACTCAGATTATTTTGAGGCACCTCGGTCGAAAAAGGAAATGCTGGGACAAACAAACTCGATCTAGCGATGTCTTACAAGACTTTTTAAAGAGCCTGTCTTACATGGCCTCGTCAACCATTGCAATCGAGTGTCATTTGGCACAAGAATTAGACTTTGAGGCGCATTTTGCTTCAATGAAAGTTCGAGAAATGCTTTCTTTCTCTCATCTAATGTTATTTCTTTGTCAGATGTTATTATTGTCATTCATTCTTTATTTTTTGGAATTCGTGCTATTTATTTCTCAATGTTCTTTTTCATTTCAAATACTAACAATACATTTTTCTATCTTTCTCTTTTTCTTTCTTTCTTTTTCTTTCTTTCTTTCTTTCTTTCTTTCTTTCTTTGTCACACATTTTACTTATTTCTCAACGCTTTTTTTCAAATGCTATCTTTACATTTTCTTTCTTTTTTTCCTTCTCTCTTTCTAATTCTTGTTACGTATTTCTCTACGACGCTCTTTTTTCTTTCAAATGTTAGATTTGCATTTTTCTTACTTACTCTTTATTTTTTGTTTCTTTTTTTTTGTTATTTATTTCACTACATTATTTCTCCTCTCAATATTATCTTTGCGTTATTCTTTCTTTATTTCTTTCTTTCTTTCTTTCTTTCTTTCTTTCTTTCTTTCTTTCTTTGTAATTATTTTTATTTTTGTCTCTAGGCACTTTCATCCAAATCTTTCTTTCTTTCTTTCTTTCTTTCTTTCTTTCTTTCTTTCTTTGTAATTCTTTTTATTTTTGTCTCTAGGCACTTTCATCCAAATCTTTCTTTCTTTCTTTCTTTCTTTCTTTCTTTCTTTCTTTGTAATTCTTTTTATTTTTGTCTGTAGGCACTTTCATCCCAATCTTTCTTTCTTTCTTTCTTTCTTTCTTTATTTCTTTCTTTCTTTCTTTGTAATTCTTTTTATTTTTGTCTCTAGGCACTTTCATCCCAATCTTTCTTCCTTTCTTTCTTTCTTTCTTTCTTTCTTTCTTTCTTTCTTTCTTTCTTTCTTTGTAATTCTTTTTATTTTTGTCTCTAGGCACTTTCATCCCAATCTTTCTTTCTTTCTTTCTTTCTTTCTTTCTTTCTTTCTTTCTTTCTTTCTTTCTTTCTTGTTCTGTCTAATGTTATCTTTGCACTTTTATTTCTCCCTCTGTCACTTTCTTTCTGACTTTGTAATTCCTGTTACTTCTTTCTCCACGCTCATTTTTCTTTCTTTCGTTTTCTTTCTTTCTTTCTTTCTTTCTTTCTTTCTTTCTTTCTTTCTTTGTTGTACATGTTACTTACTTCTCTATGTTTTTTTTCAAATATTATATTTGCAATTTCTTTCTTTCTTTCTTTCTTTCTTCCTTTCTTTCTTTCTTTCTTTTACGTGTTACATATTCCTCTACGCTATTTTTTCAAATGTCATCTTTGCATTTTTCTTACTTTCTCTCTCTTTCTCTCTAACATTGTTCTTTCTTTCTTTCTGCCTTTGTAATTATTGGTACTTATTTGTCTACACTCCTTTTTCTTTTCAATGTTAACTTGGCTCTTTTCATTCTTTCTCTTTGTTATTTTTTTCTTTCTTTGTAATTGTTGTTATTCTCTGCGACTATTTTCTTTTCAAATGTTATATTTTTCTTTCTATCTCTTTTTCTCTTTGTTTACAACATTCTTCCACATTTTTTTCTTTTTTCCTTCTTTCTTTGTAAATCTTGTTACTTATTCCTCTACACTCATTTTCTTTCAAATGTTATCTTTGCATTTTTCTTTCGTTCTATTTATCTTTATTTTTTCTTTGTAATTCTTGTTACCCATTTCTCTAAGCTAGTTTTTCTTTCCAAAGTTAATTTTGCATTTTGCATTTTTTTTCTTTTTGTTTCTTTGGTTCTTTCTTTCTTTCTTTCCTTGTAATTCTTGTTACTTATTCTCTGCCATAATTTTTCTTTCAAATATTATATTTGCATATTTCATTCTTTCCCTTTCTTTCTTTCTTTCTTTCTTTCTTTCTTTCTTTCTTTCTTTCTTTCTTTCTTTGTAATTCGTGTGACTTAAACGTCTATACTCTTTTTTATTTTAAATGTCATCTTTGCATATTTCTTTCTTTCTTTTTTCTTGCTCTCTTTCTTTCTTTCTTTTACTGTTTTTAAATGTTGATATTTGCAAATATTTTTCTTTCTTTCTTTTTTCTCTTTCTCTTTGTAATTTTGTAGTTATGTCTAAACGTGTTTGCATTTTCTTTTCTTTTTCTGGCTGTATTTAACTTTTTTTTTGTAATTCTTGTTACTTTTTTACGTTTTTTTTTCTTTTTCCAATGTTATCATTTTTTCTTTTTCTTTTCTTACTCTCTACGCTCTGTTCTTTTCTTTTTTTTTCTTTTCTTTCTTGATATTTTTTCTTTTTTTTTCGTCCCCAAAATTGTTTCTTTTTTTCTTCCTCTCTCTGATGTTCTTTCTTTCTTTCTTTCTTTCTTTCTTTCTTTCTTTCTTTCTTTTTTCTTTCTTTCTCTCTCAATGTTAGTTTTAATTCTTGTTCCACTGATGTTCTTTCGCTCTTTTTTCTTTTCTTTCTCTTTGTTTTCTTTGCCCCACATTTTTCTTTCTTTGTTTCTTTTCTTTCTTTCTTTCTTTTTTTCTTACTTTTTTTCTTTCGTAATTCTTTCTTTGTAAATTCCTTTTGTTCTTTTTTTTTTTTCTTTCTTTCTTTTTTTCTCTTCTTTCTTCGTCCCCATTTTCTTTCTGTTGTAAAATTCTTTGATGTTTCTTTTTTCTTTTTTTCTTTTCTTTCTTTCTTTCTTTCTTTCTTTCTTTCTTCGTTTGTTTCTTTCTTTTGTAAAATTCGCTTCTTTCTTTCTTTCTTTCTTTCTTTCTTTCTTTTTCCCTTTTCGTCCCCACCAATTGTTTCTTTCTGTTGTAAAATTCCTTCACTTCATGATCTTTTCTTTTTCTTTCTTTCTTTTCTTTCTTTCTTTTCTTTCTTTTTCGTCCCCCACCAATTCTTTCTTTCTTTCTTCGTCCCCCTTTCTTTCAATTTTTTTCTTTCTGTTGTTTCTTTCTTTCTTTCTTTCTGTTCCCACACCAATTTTTCTTTTTGTAAAATTTTCTTTTCTTTCTTTCTTTCTTTCTTTCTTTCTTTCTTTCTTTCTTTCTTTCTTTCTTTCTTCGTCCCCTGGGTGTTTCTTTCTGTTGTAAAATTCAGCTTCACTGATGTTTCTTTCTTTCTTTCTTTTTTTTCTTTCTTTCTTTCTTTTTTCTTTCTTTTTTTTTCTTCGTCCCCACTGATGTTCTTTCAATTTTTTTTCTTTTCTTTCTGTTTTAAAATTCCTTCCCCCACCAATTGTTTCTTTGTTCCTTGTTCTTTCTTTCTTTCTTTCTTTTTTTTTTCTTTTCTTTCTTTTTTCTTTCTTCGTCCCCACACCAATTGTTTCTTTCTGTTGTAAAATTCGCTTCACTGATGTTCTTTCTTTCTTTCTTTCTTTTCTTTCTTTCTTTCTTTCTTTCTTTCTTTCTTCGTCCCCCACCAATTGTTTCTTTCTGTTGTAAAATTCCTTCACTGATGTTCTTTTTTTTTTCTTTCTTTCTTTCTTTTTCTTTCTTTCTTTCCCCACCCAATTTGTTCTTTCTTTCTTTCTTTCTTTCTTTTGTTTCTTTCTTTGTAAAATCTTTTCTTTCACTGATGTTCTTTCTTTCTTTCTTTCTTTCTTTTTCTTTCTTTCTTTCTTTCTTTCTTCCCCCCCCTCCAATTGTTTCTTTCTGTTGTAAAATTCCTTCACTGATGTTCTTTCTGTTCTTTCTTTCTTTCTTTCTTTTTTCTTTCTTTCTTTCTTTCTTTTTTCTTTGTAAATTTTCACTTTTCTTTCTTTTTTCTTTCTCCCACACCAATTGTTTTCTTTCTGTTGTAAAATTCCTTCACTTGATGTTCTTTCTTTCTTTCTTTCTTTCTTTCTTTCTTTCTTTCTTTCTTTCTTTCTTCGTCCCCACCAATTGTTTCTTTCTGTTTGTAAAAATTCCTTCACTGATGTTCTTTCTTTCTTTCTTTCTTTCTTTTTCTTTCTTTCTTTCTTTCTTTTCTTCTTCCCCCCACACCAATTGTTTCTTTCTGTTGTAAAATTCCTTTCACTGATGTTCTTTCTTTCTTTCTTTCTTTCTTTCTTTCTTTCTTTTTTTCTTTCTTTCTTCGTCCTCCATAATCAATTGTTTCTTTCTGTTGTAAAATTCGCTTCACTGATGTTCTTTCTTTCTTTCTTTCTTTCTTTCTTTCTTTCTTTCTTTCTTTCTTCGTCCCCACACCAATTGTTTCTTTCTGTTGTAAAATTCGCTTCACTGATGTTCTTTCTTTCTTTCTTTCTTTCTTTCTTTTCTTTCTTTCTTTCTTTCTTCGTCCCCACCAATTGTTTCTTTCTGTTGTAAAATTCCTTCACTGATTCTTCTTTCTTTCTTTCTTTCTTTCTTTTTTTCTTTCTTTCTTTTTTCTTCGTCCCCACACCAATTGTTTCTTTCTGTTGTAAAATTCCTTCACTGATGTTCTTTCTTTCTTTCTTTCTTTCTTTTCTTTCTTTCTTTCTTTCGTCCCCCCACCAATTGTTTCTTTCTGTTGTAAAATTCCTTCACTGATGTTCTTTCTTTCTTTCTTTCTTTCTTTCTTTCTTTCTTTCTTTCTTTTCTTTCTTCCCCCCACCAATTGTTTCTTTCTGTTGTAAAATTCCTTCACTGATGTTCTTTCTTTCTTTCTTTCTTTCTTTTCTTTCTTTCTTTCTTCGTCCCCCACCAATTGTTTCTTTCTGTTGTAAAATTCCTTCACTGATGTTCTTTCTTTCTTTCTTTTCTTTCTTTCTTTCTTTCTTTCTTTCTTTCTTTCTTTCTTTCTTCGTCCCCCACCAATTGTTTCTTTCTGTTGTAAAAATTCCTTCACTGATGTTTTCTTTCTTTCTTTCTTTTTTTCTTTCTTTCTTTTCTTTCTTTTTTCTTTTCTTTCTTTTTCGTCCCCACACCAATTGTTTCTTTCTTTCTGTTGTAAAATTCCTTCACTGATGTTCTTTCTTTCTTTCTTTCTTTCTTTCTTTCTTTCTTTCTTTCTTTCTTTTTCTTTCTTCGTCCCCACCAATTGTTTCTTTCTTTCTGTTGTAAAAATTCCTTCACTGATGTTCTTTCTTTTCTTTCTTTCTTTCTTTCTTTTTTCTTTCTTTCTTTTTCTTTCTTCGTCCCCACACAATTGTTTCTTTCTGTTTGTAAATTCCTTCACTTCACTGATGTTTTTTTCTTTCTTTCTTTTTCTTTCTTTCTTTCTTTCTTTCTTTCTTTCTTTCTTCGTCCCACACCAATTGTTTTTCTTTCTGTTTGTAAAAATTCCTTCACTGATGTTCTTTCTTTCTTTCTTTCTTTCTTTCTTTCTTTCTTCGTCCCCACACCAATTGTTTCCCCCCTTCACTGATGTTCTTTCTTTTTTCTTTCTTTCTTTCTTTCTTTCTTTCTTTCTTTTTTCTTCGTCCCCAAAATTCCTTTCTGTTGATGTTCTTTTCTTTCTTTCTTTCTTTCTTTCTTTCTTTCTTTCTTTCTTTCTTTCTTCGTCCCCACAATCAATTGTTTCTTTCTGTTTGTAAAATTCCTTCACTGATGTTCTTTCTTTCTTTCTTTTTTCTTTCTTTCTTTCTTTCTTTCTTTCTTTCTTTTTCTTCGTCCCCACAATTGTTTCTTTCTGTTGTAAAATTCCTTCACTGATGTTCTTTTTTCTTTCTTTCTTTCTTTCTTTCTTTCTTTCTTTCTTTCTTTCTTTCTTCGTCCCCACCACCAATTGTTTCTTTCTGTTGTAAATTCCTTCACTGATGTTCTTTTCTTTCTTTCTTTCTTTCTTTCTTTCTTTCTTTCTTTTCTTTCTTCGTCCCCACACCAATTGTTTCTTTCTGTTGTAAAATTCCTTCACTGATGTTTCTTTCTTTCTTTCTTTTTTCTTTCTTTCTTTCTTTTTTCTTTCTTTCTTCGTTCCCGTCCCCATTGTTTGTTTCTTTCTGTTGTAAAATTCGCTTCACTGATGTTCTTTCTTTCTTTCTTCTTTCTTTCTTTCTTTCTTTCTTTCTTTCTTTCTTCGTCCCCACCAATTGTTTCTTTCTGTTGTAAAATTCCTTCACTGATGTTCTTTCTTTCTTTCTTTCTTTTCTTTTTTCTTTCTTTCTTTCTTTCTTTCTTTCTTTTCTTTCTGTTGTAAATTCTTCGATGTTCCTTTCTTTCTTTCTTTCTGTTTTTCTTTCTTTCTTTCTTCGTCCCCAAATTGTTTCTTTCTGTTGTAAATTCCTTCACTGATGTTCTTTCTTTCTTTCTTTCTTTCTTTCTTTCTTTTCTTTCTTTCTTTCTTCGTCCCCCACACAATTGTTTCTTTCTGTTGTAAAATTCGCTTCACTGATGTTCTTTCTTTCTTTCTTTCTTTCTTTCTTTCTTTCTTTCTTTCTTTCTTTCTTTCTTCGTCCCCACACCAATTGTTTCTTTCTGTTGTAAAATTCGCTTCACTGATGTTCTTTCTTTCTTTCTTTCTTTCTTTCTTTCTTTCTTTCTTTCTTTCTTTCTTTCTTCGTCCCCACACCAATTGTTTCTTTCTGTTGTAAAATTCCTTCACTGATGTTCTTTCTTTCTTTCTTTTCTTTCTTTCTTTCTTTCTTTCGTCCCCACCAATTGTTTCTTTCTGTTTCTTTCTTTCTTTCTTTTCTTTCTTTCACTTTCTTTCTTTTCTTTCTTCGTCCCCACACCAATTTTTCTTTCTGTTTGTTCAAATTCCTTCTTTTCTTTCTTTCTTTCTTTCTTTCTTTCTTTCTTTCTTTCTTCGTCCCCACACCAATTGTTTCTTTCTGTTGTAAAATTCGCTTCACTGATGTTCTTTCTTTCTTTCTTTCTTTCTTTCTTTCTTTCTTTCTTTCTTCGTCCCCACACCAATTGTTTCTTTCTGTTGTAAAATTCGCTTCACTGATGTTCTTTCTTTCTTTCTTTCTTTCTTTCTTTCTTTTTTCTTTCTTTTCTTCGTCCCCACCAATTGTTTCTTTCTGTTGTAAAATTCGCTTCACTGATGTTCTTTCTTTCTTTCTTTCTTTCTTTCTTTCTTTCTTTCTTTCTTTCTTTCTTTCTTTCTTCGTCCCCACACCAATTGTTTCTTTCTGTTGTAAAATTCGCTTCACTGATGTTCTTTCTTTCTTTCTTTCTTTCTTTCTTTCTTTCTTTCTTTCTTTCTTTCTTTCTTTCTTCGTCCCCACACCAATTGTTTCTTTCTGTTGTAAAATTCCTTCACTGATGTTCTTTCTTTCTTTCTTTTTCTTTCTTTCTTTCTTTCTTTCTTTCTTTCTTCCCCCCCAATTGTTTCTTTCTGTTGTAAAATTCCTTCACTGATGTTCTTTCTTTCTTTCTTTTCTTTCTTTCTTTCTTTCTTTCTTTTCTTTCTTTCTTCGTCCTTTGTTTCTTTCTTTGTTTCCTTTCTTTTCTTTCTTTTCCCTTTTCTTTTCTTTTTTCTTTTTTTCTTTCTTGTTTTTCTTTCTGTTGTAAAATTCCTTCCACTGATGTTCTTTCTTTCTTTCTTTCTTTCTTTCTTTCTTTCTTTCTTTCTTTCTTTCTTTCTTCGTCCCCTCCACCAATTGTTTCTTTCTGTTGTAAATTTCCTTCATGTTCTTTCTTTTCTTTCTTTCTTTCTTTCTTTCTTTCTTTCTTTCTTTCTTTCTTTCGTCCCCACACCAATTGTTTCTTTCTGTTGTAAATTCCTTCACTGATGTTCTTTCTTTCTTTCTTTCTTTCTTTCTTTTCTTTCTTTCTTTCTTTCTTTCTTCGTCCCCCACCAATTGTTTCTTTCTGTTGTAAAATTCCTTCACTGATGTTCTTTCTTTTCTTTCTTTCTTTCTTTCTTTCTTTCTTTCTTTCTTTCTTTCTTCGTCCCCACCAATTGTTTCTTTCTGTTGTAAAATTCCTTTCACTGATGTTCTTTCTTTCTTTCTTTCTTTCTTTCTTTCTTTCTTTCTTTCTTTCTTTCTTTCTTCGTCCCCACCAATTGTTTCTTTCTGTTGTAAATTCCTTCACTGATGTTCTTTTCTTTTCTTTCTTTCTTTTCTTTCTTTCTTTCTTTCTTTCTTTCTTTCTTCGTTTGTTTCTTTCTGTCCCCACTGATGTTCAATTGTTTTTCTTTCTGTTCTTTAAAATTTCCTTCTTTCTTTCTTTCTTCGTCCCCCACCAATGTTTCTTTCTTTCTTTCTTTTTTCTTTCTTTCTTTCTTTCTTTTCTTTCTTTCTTTCTTTCTTTCTTCCCACCCAATTGTTTCTTTCTGTTGTAAAATTCCTTCACTGATGTTCTTTCTTTCTTTCTTTCTTTCTTTCTTTCTTTCTTTCTTTCTTTCTTTCGTCCCCCACCAATTGTTTCTTTCTGTTGTAAAATTCCTTCACTGATGTTCTTTCTTTCTTTCTTTTCTTTCTTTCTTTCTTTCTCTTTCTTTCTTTTTCTTTCTTTCGTCCCACCAATTGTTTTTTTCTTTTTTCTAAAATTCCTTTCACTGATGTTTTTCTTTCTTTTCTTTCTTTCTTTCTTTCTTTCTTTCTTTCTTTCTTTCTTTCTTTCTTCGTCCCCACCAATTGTTTCTTTCTGTTGTAAAATTCCTTCACTGATGTTCTTTCTTTCTTTCTTTCTTTCTTTCTTTCTTTCTTTCTTTTCTTTTCTTTCTTTCTTCCCCCCACCAATTGTTTTCTTTCTGTTGTAAAATTCCTTCACTGATGTTCTTTCTTTCTTTTCTTTCTTTCTTTTCTTTCTTTCTTTCTTTCTTTCTTTCTTCGTCCCCACACCAATTGTTTCTTTCTGTTGTAAAATTCGCTTCACTGATGTTCTTTCTTTCTTTCTTTCTTTCTTTCTTTCTTTCTTTCTTTCTTTCTTCGTCCCCACACCAATTGTTTCTTTCTGTTGTAAAATTCGCTTCACTGATGTTCTTTCTTTCTTTCTTTCTTTCTTTCTTTCTTTCTTTCTTTCTTTCTTTCTTCGTCCCCACACCAATTGTTTCTTTCTGTTGTAAAATTCGCTTCACTGATGTTCTTTCTTTCTTTCTTTCTTTCTTTCTTTCTTTTTTTTTTTCTTTTTCTTCCTCCCACCAATTGTTTCTTTCTGTTGTAAAATTCGCTTCACTGATGTTCTTTCTTTCTTTCTTTCTTTCTTTCTTTCTTTCTTTCTTTCTTTCTTTCTTCGTCCCCACACCAATTGTTTCTTTCTGTTGTAAAATTCGCTTCACTGATGTTCTTTCTTTCTTTCTTTCTTTCTTTCTTTCTTTCTTTCTTTCTTTCTTCTTTCTTCGTCCCACTGTTATAAAAATTCGCTTGTTTCTTTCTTTGTTTCTTTCTTTTCTTTTTTCTTTCTTTCTTTCTTTCTTTCTTTCTTTCTTTCTTTCTTTCTTTCTTTTCTTTCTTTCTTTCTTTCTTTCTTTTTTCTTTCTTCGTCCCCCACACCAATTGTTTCTTTCTGTTGTAAAAATTCCTTCACTGATGTTCTTTCTTTCTTTTCTTTCTTTCTTTTCTTTCTTTCTTTCTTTCTTCGTCCCCCACCAATTGTTTCTTTCTGTTGTAAAATTCCTTCACTGATGTTCTTTCTTTCTTTCTTTCTTTCTTTCTTTCTTTTTTCTTTCTTTCTTTCTTTCTTTGTCCCCACCAATTGTTTTTTTTCTGTTGTAAAATTCCTTCACTGATGTTCTTTTTTCTTTCTTTCTTTCTTTCTTTCTTTCTTTCTTTCTTTCTTTCTTTCTTTCCCCACCAATTTTTCTTTTGTTCGTCCCTTCAATTGTTCTTTCTTTCTTTTTTCTTTCTTTCTTTCTTTCTTTCTTCGTTTCTTTTTCTTTCTTTCTTTCTTTTCTTTTTCTTTCTTTTTTTCTTTCTTTCTTTCTTTCTTTCTTCGTCCCCACACCAATTGTTTTCTTTCTGATGTAAAATTCCTTCACTGATGTTCTTTCTT